TCTCCAAGTCCACAAAACACATGTAGACTGGTTGGGCAAACTCCCATGCACCCTCAAGTATCCTCGAGAGGATAAAGAGCTGGTCCAGTGTTCCGCGACCAGGACGAAAACCGCATTGTTCCTCCTGTGAATGTCCCTATTAAAACTTCCGCTCATAAAAAACAGCTGCCATTCTGTCATTACGGTGTGTTCACACCGAACGCGACAGACACGACCAAAACGTGCCAGCTTGACGCGTGCACATTCGCACCTCAACGTTTGTTCTACGCGAATTACTTGTGGAAATGTTGGAGGAAGTAGTGCCAGATGGTATGTTTGCAAGATGGCAGCTGTTGATCTAGCGTTTGAATAGAGAGTCTCCCTTTTCTATTTACTGTGGAGAGCAGAGCAGCGGCGTAAAGGACGTCCTCGCCGTACCTGGGTCCATCAAGTCCTCCAGAAGCGTGAGCAGTTTGGTGAGTTTCACCACTTGCTCCAGGAGCTGCGCCTGGATGACGGCCACTTTCAGCGATACCACTGTCTTTCCCTGGCCCAGTTTGAGGAGCTGCTGTCCCACGGCGGTCCAAGCATCGCCCGCCTAGACAACAACTACAGGCGCTCAATCCCACCTGCAGAGCGCCTGTCCATCTGCTTGAGGTTAGTAAAAGTGTTTAATACGGTAGTCCTTTATTGATACCTTTGCTAATATATGCTAAACCATCTGTTTATACACTGCTAACATGGATGTGGTATGCTATCAGTGTTTACTGATAGCAAACTGTGGTATGGAGACGACTGTTTATAATATTTCTAGTGATACTCGAAAGGTCTCATCAAGTCCCGATTTAATTCGATTTATGCTGTTATCAGTGTTTGAATGATAGCATGGCTGTGGTGTCATATCAATGTATGCTCTCAGTGTTTGCTGATATCAAACTGTGGTATGAGGACCACTGTTGGTAATCTTTGTAGTGATACTCAGAAGGTCTATCTTATAAAGTCTTCTTTTTTAAAAAAAATTTAGACCTGGTTAAACCCTAACCCCCAGCTGAATATTTGTATATAATCCCTGCAGCTGTCAGACTCTATAACAGGGGTCACTAGCCTTTCTTAAAACTGAGAGGCATATGGTCACCTGCTCATCCCAGTGAGCTGAACTGGTGCTCAGCAAGTTTTCTGCTATTGTTGTGGTTCTGATGACTCAATTTCCTTTCTCCATCGCTCTCACTCATGTGTATGTGTGCCAATTATGCCTTGTGTTTTAGAGGTGGCCCTTCCTGCTTGCCACTGCCAGTTGCACCTGGGATGTTTAACTCACCTGTGAGAAGCTGGAGTACAACAGTTGTTTGACGCCTGGTTGTTAAACTGGAAATCGTTAGTAGAATTGGGTCTTCAATAAAAACATGTTTGTCGTCTTTGGCTTTTTGTTCCTTTCTGTGCAGGAAACCAGACCTTGCGAGTGAGTACCCTGACACGGTTATTTGTAGAGAGAATGAAAGGAAGCTGTGTCTGAGCATCGAGTGGTAATTGTTTTAATGAAAAACAAACTATCAGGACAAAAACAATCAACCCGATCACTGATCAGTGAGATTTAATTCCACCAAGTAAAAACACTCCAAAGAAACGTTTGCTTCTCTCACTTCAGTTAATCATTTATTGAACAATAATCCAGTTATTGATCTGTGAATGAATGAACTAATGGATGTTAAATGTCAGTTACTAATTGTAATTATGCAGATCCCTTATACCACAGATGATTTTCCTTAAACTGAAAATTAGATAAAATTTCAGTTGTGCCTTCAAACACTTTCACGTTAACACACATGTTTATGTTTACACATTGTTTTTCATGTGGTCATGTGCTTTTGTGGACTGGGTTTCCCTAAAACAAACTTTGTGGTTGCATGTCATCGAAGACTTTGCTGATGCTGTCATAACCATGGAAACCACACTTCCTGCCAGCAACCCTGCAGCCAAAGGTTAGGGCATCTTGCAAACTTCCACCTATAGACAGAAAACATTGATCTTTTAAATTAATCAGTCCTCAGGTGTTACTGATTTATTTTAATTAAAAGTAATGGGGAATTAAAGGGCATTACTATGTGTTAACAGACCTCTGCACTGAATCATATCTGTTATTAATCTCTGTCTCTCTTCCACAGCATGTCTTTATCCTGTCTTCCTTCTCTCACCCCAACCAATCACAGCAGATGGCCCCGCCCCTCCCTGAGCCTTGTTCTGCCAGAGGTTTCTTCCTGTTAAAAGGGAGTTTTTCCTTCCCACTGTCGCCAAAGTGCTTGCTCATAGGGGGTCATAGGGGTTTTTTTCTCTGTATCTATTATTGTAGGGTCTACCTTACAATATAAAACACCTTGAGACTGTTGTTGTGATTTGGTGCTGTATAAATCAAAGTTAATTAAAGGGAAGTTTAATTAACAGTTTTAATTTAATTAACAGTCTTATTGTGATGGTCCTGTGTTGAAATGTTTCCATCTCATCTTTTCCTCCGTGGGGTCATGGGAGCAGGTCACCGACTAATCAGAACGGTCGTGATTGGGTTCCTGGCTGCTCCAGTCTGCATGCCAAAATAGGACCCCAAGTCGCATAGCTTGTGGATAGAAAACTGTCTGTCCATGGGTGGATGAGGCATGTTGTATAAAGTTTTGAGTGCTCAAGTAGCGTAGAAAAGGATTACATAAGAGCCAATCCATGTACACTTACAACAACAGATATATGTTAAAACAGGTTTTGTTCTGGCGTGTATCAGGATCAGCACTTTATTAATAAAGCTATTTGCTACAGAATACTGAGGTTTTGCTGGCTTCCTGCTACATAGATGTTTAAAAGTCTCACCCTTGGACAGTGTGTAGATGACAGCAGCGTTGAAGGTGTCCCCAGCTCCAAGCGTATCAACGAGACTTTCAGGAGGAAATGCATCAGAATGAATGATCACACCATCAGGACCCAAAGCATCAGCTCCTTTTTCTGCCCAGGCACAGATCAGGATGGCCCTGAGGAAGGATGGTGTCATATTTTTATTTCTATGGTTGTTACTAATGTTACACTGCTGACCTGTGACCGCTCACCCCTGTTTGACTCGACTGTAAAGTCCTTTCAGGGCAGCTTCAGCTGACTCAAACCCAAAATCACGAGCAACGTCCTTACTGACAAACACCTAAAGACATGAAACCGCGATGAATTTGCAACACGTGACAGAAAACATGCAATAACATTTTGTCTGATAGAGTGGGCAGTTTATGTTCTCCTGGTTCTGGCACAGAAGCTCTCACCACATCGCCATGAGGAAACAGCTGGTACAGCGGCTCTCTGGTCTTCTCTATCTCCACGGAAATGGTGATCTTCTGTTGCTGTGGCAACATGCTGTTATATCGCTCTACCTGCTGGATCATCTTCACCTGCTCCTCTGCGTTTCGGCCCTACAGGAGTTAAAGTGTGACAGCAAACAAACAAGATTTATGAGACAAAACAGTTTCCAGTGGGTTAGAGTGCGCTTTTGTTTAATGAATTAATCATCATTGATCAATTTCAAATTAATGTTGTTGTTTTTTAAGTCTTCTGGTGAAAATATTGTTTCTAAATGAGCACAAACCTCTGAGGAGTGCAGGCTGGAAAGGTGTTAAGATGGTGACAGGTGTTTTCTGATTGGTTACTCATCATTAACAGGTTGTGTTTATGATCTTAATTTAAAATTCTGATTACCAATGTCAGTTTAATACTAGGTTGGGTTGGCTCGTTTACTGGACTTTACTCACCTCCCAGTGGATCCACTTGAACTGATGAAGGTGAACTTTTGAAAAATCCTCTGCTGTGACATCTGGAAGGTTCCTGACAGACAGGAATTGAGCTTATGGTCCTTTAAAACAACCACTTCCATCTCTTCAAAACTCAGGTCAAACCATTTTTTCTGGATTCTCCCTGCATTTAGCAGATTCATGTTAACCATCCTATCACATCATTATGACACCAAACCAGCAGGACTGGTAAACTGCTCTGCTGTATAAAATTCATGGAACAGGTGCAGCCTATCAGACAGCAAGCTACTATACAGGGAGTGCAGAATTATTAGGCAAATGAGTATTTTGTCCACATCATCCTCTTCATGCATGTTGTCTTA